TGTTCTGAGTTCTACGTGGAAGAATTGGACGCCTTCTCTGAAAAGAAGCTGAACAAACATCTAAGGACCCTCCGGAATCCCAGCAAGTATCCGGCTACTCTTTTCGGGGCATCTTGCATCGCGGTACACACACGAGCGTGCACTTCAATTTACGATCCTCTGATCTGAATGTTGAACACATAAAAGAGGCGCCAAAATTTATTGCGAAAGACTCAAAAGATTCAAAAGAATCCAAAAGTTTTCACAAAAATTTTTTATATTGTTTATACTCTTTCTTCTTCGAATATTTCGGTGCCTAGCACCTTCTTCAGCGACCTGAAATACTACAGTTAGCCACCTCCACCGGAATCCTGAATCTTCAGTGGTGCCTCCTTCTGGACTCTGACCTGGTCTGCTGCCTCCAGTATCCGCCAGTATGTCGACGCTGCTCCTTGCGAATGCCGCGCCTTCTAGTGGTAACTGTGACCCTACCCGTTACCACTAGAAGGCGCGGCATTCGCAAGGAGCAGCGTCGGCATACTGGCGGATACTGGAGGCAGCAGACCAGGTCAGAGTCCAGAAGGAGGCACCACTGAAGATTCAGGATTCCGGTGGAGGTGGCTAACTGTAGTATTTCAGGTCGCTGAAGAAGGTGCTAGGCTTTTGGATTCTTTTGAATCTTTTGAGTCTTTCGCAATAAATTTTGGCGCCTCTTTTATGTGTTCAACATTCAAAAACGGAATTTGTTCATCTACTGTGCAACACATATTCTATTCTGTACTTCCTATCTATTTCTAAGATCTACGTATAGAATGGGCGTTATGGCCGAAACCAGCACGCCTTCCGCAACTCTGAGGGGTGCAGATTTCGCTAGGTTACTCTGTCTATTATGATTCGACCACTACCGCGCAATATGAGCAGCTCAGGCAATTAACAAATTCCATCCCGTTATGATGTGCGCTGGCGAAGCCAGGCCAGCTCGGCGAAGCCGAGCTAAAAAGAAGGAGGAGAGCTCGGCGTCAGCCGGGCGATCCGACTGGTAGGACTAATAACCTTGAGCCAACTGGCTATGATAGGTTGATACGCGCGCGATGTCCAATCTTCTAGCGGCAGAAAAGCTATTCAGTAGTATGTCGGTCATTTCAAGTTTAACTACAGATCATGAGAAATTGGGTTTTTAGGTGTCTCGTAGTCAACCATTCAGTGGAGGCAGGAATGACATGGTCATTGATCACGGTGCAGCTAGAATCAGATACATAGAAGTAGTGGTGGTAAGCTTCATTGTTGTTAGTCTTTTAAAATCTGCAATTCTGTTTGATTCAGTCTGTCATTGCCAGGGAACTCAAGTGTTGGTCTTGTTTTGTGCCCTGTTGTCTCGGGAACTGCTTGAAAGTGACTGTGCGATCCGCTGACACCTGAAAACAGCGCAACCATTATCAAGGACAGAAATATTGGATGATTACTTTGCTTTTCCGTTTAAAGGTACGGTCTGCGATCAGGTAAAGAATTTGGAAGTGGCGTCGGAAGGGTAGAACGGCCCGCGAAGAACTACCTTTTCGAGGCAAAAAAACTGTAACGGAGGGGCGCTACTGGCGCTGGCGCAGTATAGATTCAGCAATGCCCCCTTTCGCAAGTGACTCCGCCTCCAGACTCCGCCTTCAAGGCCCACCTTTCAGTGAAAGCGAAGCTGCAGGATGAAAAAGCATGAAAATCGTCACTTGTACGGTCGTAGAGTTCTTATCGGGAATCAGCTGTGCGGATGAGGGCGTAGTGTTGGAGATGGAGTTAATTGGGCACGTACAAACTGGGATCGAAATGGGGTTCTATCTAGGGCACTGGCATGTTTTTTCTTGCTTTTTTTTCTTTACTATTGAATTACTCAAAACATTGTCGTCTACATCCAAACGCCTAGTTCACTATCTGTGAAGGCGAATGATCGCGGGCGGCGGTGGACCACAGGTGAGCCTATGAGTGTTCTCTTGAAAAATTTCTGAATGATTCATGTAGGAACACAATGTGGTGTTCGCTTTTTTTCAAACTAAGCTAAAATGTGAAGTGAGCTACTATTATTCCGCTGCGCAGTCATCGCAGCTTCAGCCATAACTTCAAAATTGAAATTTCAGATATCCTTGAAAACCCACGATCATTACAGCTCCTTTGTTAATGTAATGGTCTTGATAACCCGGCGCACTGAACAACGTGATTACTTTTCGGTCGCTTGAGATTTCGAACCCTTCATCCACTGCCTGAATTAGTTGCATTACTGATGAAAAAGGAATTATAGATACTACTTCAACGGATCGCACCTGATGCCCGCGGACTATCATAAGAATGCCCATTTTCGCGCACCGATCTGCCACAACGTCACTTCCGAACACTAAAAATCGACTGCGGTGAAGGAATGCAAGTTGCTGCGCTTTCACAAACGTTCAAGGGTTACCGTAAGAGCATCCACGATCTACATTAGTTTTAAAGCCAGTGCACAAGGGAGAGGGATCAGACCACAGCAGATCTTCAACGAGACCAGACGGCTCTATTGTCCCCCTGTAATGCAGAGTTTTCTCCAATGTTGTCACAAATTCAACTCGAGCAGTGGTTCACATCTACATGCCCTTCTTGTGCGATGATCCGTGCACCCCTTATCCACGTTCTTCTACTCCCTAGACACACAAGCACGCGCATGCACGTACACTCCTTATCCCTGAGACGGAGTGGGCGCGGCATATGAACATGGCACAGGAGGGTCACGCGTGGGATATTTCAGTTTGAACAACTGCTATCTTGACACGTGTTGGACAGAGACGTGACCACAATTGTATCAAAATGAAAAATCTCACCAAAAGTACAGTCACCGCCGCGTTTAGTTGAAGTACGCTGCCACGCCCACCGCATCTCGGTCATTTCGGGTTTACAGTGGTGATCCATGCAAATGATTAGGCGTTTGACGCGGCGCGGTTTGCTGAGGCGACCTTATTCCAACAATGATGTCAGGCTGAGTCCCCTACAACTGGTGGAATTTGTTCCGGCTGCGTTCCAAACCACGCCCTGCGCTCTATCGCTTTCGGAGATTACGAATTTATGCCGTAAGGGAGGGACTGACGCCTATGCAATTTTTGAGTTCACACGACTATATGTCTACACATCCGCACCCCCCTGAAGGTGCGCACTCGCGATTGCTGACGAAGTCCCGGAGACCGAGGTTGAGTAGAAAATGTGGTAAAGAAGGATTTCAAGTGCAGGAGCTTGGAGAAAACTTTGCCTTTTTATCTTGCGAATGTCATCAATCGACTGTAATTTCGGAGAAAGTCCACCATGTAGACAAAGAATTTTTTCACATAGCAAGGCTGCGAGAGGAAGCTGCCTGAAATGAATGCTTCATGGAACACAAGTTCCCAAAACGAATTTCTATTGAAGGTATCCTGTAGGCGAAAAATTCCTAAAAGAAGACTCCAACATATTACATTAGGGTACCCCAAAGGCTCGTGAACTCAGGCTTTTTGTGAAACAAACTGTGAGCCAATTGTTTTCATTTTCAGTTCGGGTAATTCCTGCTATGAATACAAAAACGAACGAGTATACTTTAGCGACCGCATCTAGTAGACTGTCACATTCATTTCCTTCCGAATACCGTAAGCGCAGATCGGCGTAGAATCCGTATGTCCTGAAACATCGATTGTTATTGAAAAGTATTTGCACAATAGATTTAAGCCTCAAAATCCATGGTGCATTTTGAGCTTGAGCCTGTTTCTTCTTACAAGCAATCGTTGTTCCATCATAGATTTTATTTATCCTGTGGAAAAGGGGGACATAAGACAGCCAAAGATCCAAACCTGTTAACGGATTTGATTTCATGATTGCCGCGTAGAAGAAATATCTGACGAGGAAACTGTATTTGGAGTGCAAGCACTAGTACCAACACCTCCAGCGAATTCCTGCAATAAATTCCATTTTTCGAGAGAAAACAGGGATTCTAGTGCTTCGAAAACATCGTTCGCTATGTTACTAAGGGAAATTTACCGTCCACGGTCCACATAGTCTCCGAGGAAGAGGTAGCGGGTCTCAAACGGCCATCCACACTTCTGGAATTCAATTAGAGAAAAACTGGATTTGAAGTTTCCTTTTTGTTCTTTGCGCTACTATCGTTATATTGTGCTTGAGGGCTCGGCATTTATTGCCTGCTCAAGCTTACACGAAGGCATTACGTAAGTTGCTTTAAATATGTATGAAGGCAACCGCTTATTCGGTGATCAGTGGCTATAGTCTTTTCACAAATGACAAATTCTAAACATGTATTAAGGTTTTCGAAGTTCTCAGCGTTTTGGGTGTGTTTCACTTTAAACGATCGTAACTTTTTTAATACTCATCGGATTTAATCGAAATAGGCACCATTCGAATCAGCACACTTTTGCCAATGTGACAGCAGTCGAGAAATCCCATCAAAGTAAAAAAACTGGGTGGTCGAGAATCCACGAAATCTACGAAGGTCTTTTTTGCCTGGTCCTAATTGATGAAGTATTTTTCAGCAAGGAAGTTCTGAAAATGTTTGAAAAGGTGATAGTCGGTTGGTGAAAGGTCTGAAGAATATGACGGTTGAGGTAGAACTTCAACCCAATTCGTTCAATTTATGGATAGTGATTTGTGAAACGTGTGGGCGGGCGTTTGTCATGCAAAGGAATCGGACCCTTTTTTGATAAGTGTTGGCTGCATCTGACAAAATTTTCGGTACAATTCGTCGATTTCTTCACAGTAGGGTTCTGCTGTGATGGTTTGGCCTGGTGATAAAAGTTATAGTGGATCACACCAGCCGATGACCACCAAGCCGTGACCAGAATCTTTTTTCGTGAGGGTTCGGCTTTTGAAAATTACCTCGGTGGTTCGTCGAAATCCAACCACTGTCCGGAACGTCTCCTGTTATCATACATGACCCATTTTTCATCACAGGTGACAATTCGGCCCAAAAACAGGTCGTTTCTGCTGCGCAAAAGCAATGCAGAAGGAACCTCGAGACGTGCCGATTCCTGCCGGTCACTCAAACTTGTAAGGCTTGAACTGTGTTTGAAATTTTTTCACCTTCCAGTGCGGTTTGGCCAGACGATCTGACAACAGGAGGATTTGCCAAGGGCCCTATCTCTTCGAACTGTTTGGGATGGGTCAGCCCCAAAATCCCCCTAAATCTCGTCAGATATTGCTTTAGGTCGACCGCTATGAGGTTCACCTTCAAGGCTGAAATCTCCAGAACGAAATTTGTTGAGCCATTGCCGCACAGTGCTTTCTCTAGCACTATTGGGCCCCACACCTGGTTAATTTGTTGAGCTGTTTCGATTGCGGATTGCCCCAATTTATAGTCGAAGAAAAAAATCGTCCGAAGTGCTCTTTTCACATGCTTGAAAAAATCTTGAAAAAAGGGGGTTTATCAAGCAATGGTGAAACGGCAATTATACCATCAGATAGCGCAAGAAATTCTCTACAGGATGTGCTACTGAGAAGCAAGGCAGAATGAGTTTTTAATCAGCAGTGAATGTACAAAAAATAGGTGCACAAAACGCTGAGAACTTTCCGGACAACCTAATAGTAAATGTGTCACATGATCTTTTGCTCCATCTCTTTTGAAAACCATGCAATAACAGACCGCAAAAAAAATAAATTAACCTCAAAAATAGAAAGTAAGTCGCCATATTGTCCATGTATGTCGCCAACAATTACAACTGGAGAAGAAATTTCGAGTAAGGAAGGAAGACGCTCCAGAGAGACCTTGAAGCAAGAAAATGTAATGGTGTAAGAAGTTTTTAGCTGCTATAAGCCAGCAAATCAGTCTATAGCAAGTGATTCTTGATCCTCGAGGAACTTTCACACGTAAACTAGTACATGTTCAATCCGCTTTTTTGATAGCAAGTGTTTTTGCGCGTGATCCTGTTATTGTTAGGAAGCTGCGTTATCAATCAAACATTATTCACTCTCTCTTAAATCTAATAAGCACTGAGCATGAGCGGAGAAAAAAACTAGAGGATGGCATGGCGTCAGAGTCTACAAATAATAGAGGCACCACTGCCAT